CTCTTTAGACTTGTATTCAAAATTTCTGTAGATACAACCTAAAATCCTATTTTCCATACCACTAGCAACAGCACACTGCTTAGATGGTTTAAGAGACTGATTAACTACTATACCAAGATCCTTTTCTTTCATGACACTGTTAAGGTTATTCCCATCCAAATTATACTTATAATATAAATTATGATAACCCACATGCGTTATCTTGCATTTATTGTAATTAAAACCCATCTGCCATTTATTTGCCCAACTCACTAAATGATATAAATCCTTTTGTAAATCAGCAGCGTCCTCTTCACAGCTAGTAACACCCAAGACCTTAATATCATCTGCAAATTTAAGTAATTTATTGACCATTCCTTCATCTATGTCATTGATGTAAATCAAAAAGAGCAAAGGTCCAAAGACTGAGCCCTGAGGTACCCCATTTTTGACATCAATCCAGTTTGACTGAACTCTATAACAACCCTCTGTTTTCTTCCATCCAGCTACTCTTCTGTCCAATTTCCTTACTTATCCCCCACACCTATACATATATAATATTTTTCACAAGCCTTTTATATGGCACCTTGTCAAAGGCTTTCTGAAAATCCAGATACACCAAATCTACACCCTTACCCTCATCTAGATAAGTAGTAACCTTTTCAAAGAATGTCAGAAGATTTGTAAGGCAAGATTTTCCCTTAGTGAAACCAATAAAATTATAAACTTTGTTAAATGACTTTGCAAAGCATCTTTTATCAGACTTTCCAAAATTTTTCCCACAACTGATGTAAGACTAATAGGTCTATAATTACTGGGACAATTATCACCTCCCTTGAAAAGAGGTGTTACATTAGCTAACTTCCAATCCTCTGGGCTGACAAAAAATAGTAGCAAGTGGCTCGTTTAACCAATATTTAACATCCTTCAAAACCCTTGGGGAAATGTTATCTGGCCCAGGAGCCTTATCACTTTTTAAACTTCTCAATTTTTTCTTAACCAGCTCAGAATTAATGCAATCACATAGTCTGACCTCATTGCCATCTGTCAACTGTTCGAGATGAGGAATACTGCTTAACTTCATTAATAAGCTCTGACCACATAAGCTTTCAAACGTTCTAACAACAGATCAATAACATCAATTTTTTTTCTCTGTATAGATAGAACCTTTACATATTTATATTTAATCATCAAAAAGTAATTTCATGTACCCCCCAAGTTGTGAGGGTTGTGGGTGAAACTATATATATTTATCCACAACCCCAAAAATTTCCTGTAGAAACTACAGCTTGCAGAATACCATGCCCTACCCAACAAAACATCATCCAATCTCTGTTTAGTCATGTTTCTTTTGTGGCCAATTAGACCAAGAACTGAGAACATTTAAAAGCTACAAGCTGTGAGTCTCATTGATATTTTGGAGTGTACTAAAACAAAACCCTTGAAAATATTCTGCAGGAAAAATTTTCCAAGTTTAGAGCTTCCTGACTTCCTTTTCATGACTCTTCTTATTTAAATATAAAACTTTACCCCCAAATCCATCTGTCTGCCACCCCTCCACACACTGGAGCTGTTACTGAACACCACAGCTTGTAAATCATTATGATGTACACTACATAACATGAAACTTAACAGTAACACTGCTAATGACTTCAGCTCTTGGATATTTAATGTAGAAAGTACAAGTTTTTCCTGAAAGCAATAGTATTCCGAGGGTTTATAACATCAAGTTGTTTCTAAAGTTATATAGACATGTTGCCTGTGTCTAAAATCTGTTTTATCCTATGTAACATAACAGTAGTAGCTGCTATAACATCAGCATGAAGTAGAAATTATTACTGTAGTGTGATCTGTAATAGTTGTAATTCAACCTTTGTTCTCTAAAACTTTAAAATATGTTTGGGATGAGAGATAGTAGTTTATATTCATTTTGTTTTTAAATTTATATCAAGCTTACACATTTGGCTCTAGAGATGTCCTGCTGTAGTTGGAACATCTAAACAAAAGTTAAGACAAAGGAATATGAATGCTACTTATCCCACAATTGAAGAAGTACGTTATTTTACAATATACTATATTACATGTTACATATTAAAGAAATGCTCCTCTGCCTTAAAGAAAGTGCAGTGTTATTACACTTTGTTGTCTTTTGTTTCAGGTTGCTCCAGAAGAATACAAAGCTACAATGTCCCGAGTGAACAGTGTATTGAAGAAGACGTTACCTGTTAATGTCAAGTGGTTATTATGTGGCTGTGTATGTTGTTGTTGTACGTTAGGCTGTTCACTTTGGCCAGTGATATGCCTTAGTAAACGAGTAAGTTATCTCTGGAACTTTTTGTCACATTCTAATAACCCGTCATACAAGTCACTTAGAAACTACAGAACATGTTTGAGGTACGAATGAGTTTAATAAGTAACAAACAAAACAATTTTTTCCACACCATGTTGAATAAACAATTTGCCTATATGATATGTTCCTCAGTGAGATCCTTACAGGACTAGCTTAGCAGATGTGTTCCTTAATAAGATCCTTACACTTCTAGCTTAGCAAGTGTGTTTCTTAATGAGATCCTTACAGGTACAACCTAACCTATCTGATGTGATCCCTGTTGAGATCCTTAGAAGTCCAGTCTAGAAGATTAGTACTTAGTTCTTAACATTTCATTCCCAAGACCATCACAGGTCCAGTCTAGCTGGCTAGCACTTAGTTCTTAACATTCCTTTCACAAGACCATTACAGGTCCAGTCTAGCTGATTAGCACTTAGTTCTTAACATTCCTTTCACAAGACCATTACAGGTCCAATCTAGCTGGCTAGTACTTAGTTCTTAACATTCCATTCACAAGACCATTACAGGTCCAGTCTAGCTGATTACCATTATGCTCTTAACATTCCTTTCACAAGACCGTTAAAGGTCCAGCCTAGCTGATTACCACTATGTTCTTAACATTTCTTTCATGGGACCATTCCATGAGACCCTCTGAGCAGATAAAATAACTGAAATCTTGTTCCTAGTTGCATGATAACTGTAACATAACTAAGGTAGTTATAAAAAAAATTATGTATAAATGTGGTTCATTTAAAAAGTTTCTGCCTGTGATAGTGATATTTCAGTATAACAAAATTACGACTCATGCTGATTTTTCACCCGTCATGGAGTTGTCTAGTTTTAGTAACACGTAAAAGTTTTACCTATACAGTATAGGAAAAAATGTGAAAATGATATGGAAATAGTTATAAAAGTCATGCTCTACAGAATTGTCTCCCCATGTCATGTGAAAATGAACTGTACTGGAGAGAATACAGTGATGTATTCATAGTTTACACTGTGAATGGCTGTCTAACCAATCGGGAAATGCTACACCATTATAGGTAGTCATACTATGCCCAGTAGTAGTAGTAATATAAATCCAGCCATGAGTTCTAAGTCTGAAATACTACAGAAAAAGCATATGAAAATCTTAGTTTTAGCTGTTCAAGGGTATTCCATGCAAAAGGTTATGACAAAATTGTTTCAGTAGGAGCTCTATAAAAGACTGAAGAAGGTACATGAAATTGGCACATATAATGATAAAAGAGGTCAGCATAGAAAACCAAAACTCACCCAAAGAGATGCTAAGTATCTCAGGGTATGTACTTTATGAGATAAAAGATGGCCAAGTACAAATCTTATCAATAACCTTGGTGTAAATAAAGATGTAAAATTGTGAATGTTGCCTTGAGAACTTGAGATACACATCAGTATGAAGTGACCACAGTGGACATTGTAGTTGTTGCCAGGAAGAGGCCACTAAATCAAATCAAAAGTTTGAAATTGGCATTGTAGTGTCAACTGTGGAATGAGCCAAGCTGGAAAAGTGTGCTCTTTACAGTTAAATCCAAGTTTGAATTGTTCAGCAACAATCAGTGACAGTTTGTTTGATGGTGAATACTAGAGTTGTATCGTAGTCAGTGGGCAACATTTAAAGTGAAACATTGTGGATGATCAATACACATTTAGAATTGTATCAAAGCCAACAGTGTCGATGATGTGCACAGAATCGATGACACCCTGACTGTTGATAAGTATAGGCATACTCTAATCCATCATCTCATTCCATCAGAAACACGAATCGTCTAAGACCCACCTTCCAGCAACAAGATCCAAAGAATGTATCATTCTTGGTGAAACAATATTTTGACTGTAAAGAGGCTGTTGGAACTCTTAAAGCTATGGCTTGGCCTGCACAAAGTCCAGATATGAACAATCTTGAGGCTATGTGGGCTTATATAAAAACTGAGATGGTAAAAAGGTAACTAAACAACTTGGAACAGTATTCTACAGTTGTAAGTTTATAAACTATATGGGAGCATAAAAGCAAAGTGTATCTATCTCTGTTTAAAGCAGACAATTTACATACAAAATACTAATGTATTGTATAGCTTATATTTTCTATTTTCTGTAATAACGTTTTGTACTATTAGTAAATTCTCCATCTAGTTTCAATTACTCGTTTTTTATTCCATACTGTATGTGTATCTGTATAAATTTTAAAATGCTGTAATCTCTGTTTTTAATAGACAAGACATTCAATAGAAAAAGTATTGGATTGGGAAAATAGCCATCTTTATCACAAAGTAAGTATCTATATATTACCTTAAACTTTCTTTATGAAATGGTGATGCTGTAGTAAATTTTTTAATGTATATATTGGTTAGTCTTAGTTTTCCACTTGTACATACTTCTGTAATTGTTGTTTTATTTATTTTCTACAGAAGTTATGTCTATATTTGAAAATTTGATCATACTTAAATTTCACAGAACCTAAGTGATGACATTCCTTTTAGATACTGTTTTTGCACCAAAATTAGTTTGAAACAACAGTTTTGTTCAGAAAAAAATAGTTTGCAAATGTAATAATTAGAATCAGGCGGCAAACACTAAGAGTTTAAGAATTTGCCTAACATTTTTTTATTTTGAATAAAAGCTAAGGTTTGGTTTCACATTTATTAATAAAATCAAATCAAAATATTTGCTACAGTTTATAAACAGTAGTTAAAAATATAGAGTCAGGTCACTTGTTGTGTAACTCAACAATCACCTAGTAAAATATTGTTGTTGTTTTTTTCATAAACTTCACGGACGGGAACTCGAGTCAGATGAATTAGACAGAAACTCTCATAAAAGTCGGGTACTTTTTTCAGAAGAATCATTGCAGTCTGCTGTGAAACAGTATTTGTAGGTTGCACATATATGTGTGCAAAATAAAATACAATTTGCTTAATTGAATAGCATGCTATTTGTAAAATCTGTAGAAATTAACATACTATCAGTCTTTCTAGATGACATTTTACCAGGTATAATTCCATATAGTATGTTTGTGTTGACACAGACTTAGTGTAAGATATCAAGTACATGTTCAGGGCTCTGAAGATAATTTTGTATTCCAGCATTAATATTTTATAATTATGTGTTATACTGGACATTTTCACCAGTTAACATGTAGCAAATACTGTAAAATTCAGTAAATTGTGTGTTATTTCAGATAAAGTTTGATATTTGATTAAGACCATAAGTTATTGCAATATCATCACTTGTTATTAAGATCAACTGCTAAAAAAACATTTCTTGAGATCAATATATTTTTTATGCAACCAAAAATTCAAAAGTGAAATTGTTATTGTTGTTGTTGTATCTCTTGTTTTAATTCAGGAATATTATTTAGATGTTGATCTTGGTCTCATCTTGACTATGTCTCTGCTCTCCCCATGTTGGTTAGGTTAGAAACAGTTGTTTTCACTATGTACTTGTTACATGACAGTTGTTTTAGTTTTAAAATGTAGGTGTGGCTCCTGATGTCATTTTTATTGTGCTTATGCAACAATACATAATCTGTTGGTTTCCAGTTGTTTTTCAGACAGACAACAGACTGTTCACAGTTCATTGATAATTGTATTGTGGTACTGCTGTTTACCTTACTGACAAGAGGGTCAGTCCTTCAGGTCAGTGGTAGTTGGGCAGATTTGGGGGATAAACAGAAACCTTCTCAGGTGGACTGTCTCCCTATCTCGTAAAGGAAGGACTTGGAACCCTTTTATCAATCCAGATATCTAACAAACCAGTATAAATCAACAGCATGAGAATGACTCATCTATAACTTTTCAGTGTAATGATTTAAGATCTTATTACAATGCAAGATAATGTGGTTGTTGGATCCACATAACAATTCATGTGATATTCTTTGCATGATGTGACTGGTGAAAGTTGAACTCTGACAATTCTTGGAAGCAATCTGTTGGAATGCGGTCTGAAGTTACAAGCCTTTTCTCACTTGACCCGTCTTCACTAATTGACCGCTACATTATTTCTATTTTTGCCACTGTTGATACATACACACATATGTATATATGTATTACTTTCATATGAAACATATAATTTTGTAAATTATTCAAAACATAAATGAAACATAATTTAAGAATGCTTTGTAATTCTTGTCTGGTTCAGCTTGGTCTTCACTGGAGGTTAGGAAAGCAAAGGAGGGATTCAACTACTATGATGGAGTATGTAAGTATGGCTGAATTCTAAGCATATATTTACTGCTAACAGAGTTTAACTCTTTCTGTATGGCCTGAATCACTTTAACTGATCATGTAACCATCATAGTATACATACTATAATCTTTAATGTGGTATGTGTATCTTCATGAAATTTGGAAAACTTTTAGTAAATATTACAAGACTTTTGTACACAGAAAATCAGATTTTTAATCAAGTATTTTTGCTAAAGATTTATCTGTGAATATATGGAGTCGGAGTGTAACTCGGACTAGTTTAAGTGCAAGATGATTTTGGTGTTAAGATTTAAAATACCCTTTTTTTAATTTAACAGTTTCCATTTGCCTAGCCTCTAAAATTTTCTAGATGAATATCAAGGTTTTTTTCAGTAAAACTTTATATTTTATCTATTACTTTTTTTACTCTAATGCTGTACAGAGTCGGTCAGTTTGACTGACCATAAAACCACCACAAAAAAATACAAAATAAATCTAGATTACCTTTTTTTCTCTTTCAAAAATGACTGCGAATTTTAACCAAAACTTACAATTTTTTATCCTAAACAGTTTATTATATTTTATTGCTTTATTGATCTTTGAACTGTGTATAACTAATAATCCCATCACGCAAGTTGTATAATATAAATAAGGCAGATGTGTAGCTCAAGTTACATTATTAAATGATGTAATGCACAAGCTACTTGGGAGCATACCTCATGGAGAAATTTTGTTATTACTATTTTCTTCATTATCTGATCCGATCTAACCTTATGTAACATAAGTTTCTAACTTTCTAATTTTGACATATTAGTTACTTTTAAAACGATAGATAAAAAATACACATGAAAAACAAGAAATTCGGAAACAATATCTTACCTCCCTTCACAAAAAACTTTCTCAACTTTTACTATGGCTGTCTATTGATGTAGACTTTTGCTTGCCACTAGTCTTGCTACTCCCACTTATTACTGCATAATAACATGCAAATGATCGTGCAGCAATCCTCCACCAATAGGAGTGCGACACTATCCCTATTATAACTAGCACTTCTTGATTGGCAGTCCTACTGATTAGATGGGTTTTTCGGTCCACACATTTTTGTGAATTTCTACTTCAGTTAATATATCTTACATTTTTGTTCTGTTTCTTGGAGAGTTACGATTTATTGTATTTTATCTCTTTCAATTTTGGGAGTTATGCACTTGCAGTTTTAGATGGTCATGACTACGACTGCTCTTACTGACCACGTGTAGTGGGTTGAAAGTACAATTCTCGGCCCATGAAGTGATGGCTCTGGTCTGTTGGTAGTTGACAACTTTCATGCAATAATCAGAACACACTGATGATTGTCCTCATAAGGTTTTCAGTGATCATTTAGTTTTGGATTTGGACAGCATTTTTTCCCCCTCCTGAATATGCCTCTTAGTTATGTGTCATTTTGGGGGACTTACCCAGACATTTGTGGATTTGTTATTCAGGTATGTTATACTCTACGTATCTCCCTTTTCCTATGTTCAACCCCTGCCCTTATCAGGGGGCTAAGCCTTTGATTCATTATTTCCCCTGGATGTCAAGGTTAATGTGTGACACATTTGTGTGAGTGTGGGGGGGAGGTATTTGAATTCAGTATGCCTCGACCCCACTACTGTGGATGATAATGATTTTGATTATCATTCATCCAACTTTTCTTATTTGGACTCGCAACATTTGGTGTCAGTTCTCACTTAGTGGGGATTAGACCCTGATAATTTGATTACTTTTTCCCATATTCATCTTACTGTGACCACTCTTCTAGGGTCAGGGTTGGTGGGGGCCAGACACGTTCAATTGCCCACTTTGGAGATCCTTGGGGGCCTATCCATGGGTTCTGAAAGATGTTTCAGTATGTCTGTTTCTCTACATCCATTCATTTCCACTGTTGTATTACAATTCCGTTTCCTTTGCTCCTTTTCCCACTTTTATGTTTGTTCTGATCCCACCCACCTCTTTTGTTTGGTCAGGGCTCTCCAAGGGTATATGACATGTATTGCTCCCTTCTGGGGTCCCTGAGTCTGTTTGTTCTTCCTAGACTGTACACTCGTGGACTAACATGAGTAAAGTAGACAGAGATTACTGCCCATCTCTGATGATCAGTGACATTTGAGGCTCTTCCTACTGCATAGCTGATGTACAATTCCAGATGCCATCAGGTGTTGGTTGAAGTTGAACTCCCATTTACGATCTGTTGCACCCTAGCCACTCTACACTAGGGTTCCTATTATTTTTGTTGTTGTCTTTTGAGACCCCTTCCAAGTTCCTGCCCTTTACATTTTGGCAACACATTACTAAAGGTCAAAGAATACACCTGGCTCAGAAGTGGTATTGTCTTCCACTTGTGTTTTGTTTTTAATTTCTTATCACACCTCATGGTCTTCCTTTGGGTGCTTCCTAGAGGGGGATCATTGTCTCACCAGCCCTCCACCAGTTCAGTGTTGGATTCTAGTTTTTGTGAGCGGAAGTAAGGTATAGTTTCGGAAGTTAACATTTTCCTAAACTGGAAATATCTTTCTAATAGATACTAACCTCTTTTCACATTTCCCACCCATCCTCCCCACTTCCGTTCTGCTTAGGAAAATGTTAACTTTAGTATTTATGTTTGACTTTTTTTTTGGCTGTTGACTCTGATTAAACTTAAGCATACTTTTTTGTAATGATGATACTACAACATCAAATAATTTTTATTTATTTCAAATATGTACTTAAGAACAAAATAATAAGCACTAAGCAAACAGTGTCCTATAACTATTATAATTTCACTGCCTTTGTAACTAAGGCATAAGTGCCTTAAAATAATTCTTGTAGCTGTTTGATGTGAACATAGCGATAGCTGTTGAATCCGTAGGTATAATAACTCTCCTGAGAACTAGGTAGCATTTTATGCCATTTGGTAAATTAAAACTTTGTCTTTCTGTTGGTTATAAATGATGTAATGGCAAATGTCAGATAATTATTGGCAATTTGTGAAAGACAGGACATGATAGGAGGGCATTGCAAATGGGCTTGACTTTCTGGTTTATATCTTCATAAATAAAGAAGATTGAAGGCTCTAAAATTTAGACTATGCATTAGTAATGTCTATAGAGTAAGGAGTTATTTATGTTAAACATGGGACATCAGAGTCAGAGCAACAAATGTTATGTTACACACACACACAAGGGGTGATTGAGAATTTATTTAAATATTTCCAATTGAAATAAAGAAATTAAAATGTGACTTATTAACTACATTGTGATGCCAAGTTTATTCATATACATTGCTAATAAAGTAGTTTAGTTAAATCTTGAATGTAACTGTAAAATACCTACCTGTATCAAGATGGTTAAATTAAGATGACTAGATGATGAAGTATTCTGGCATTGAAAGTTAAGAGAGTTTTGTATTTTTTTAAGTATTAATGTTGATATTGATATATACTATATATATTCATTTATATATGTAACCTGAAATGAATGTTGTGATCATTATTTAAATGAGTTACTGTAGTCCTGCTGTATGAAAGATGGATGTTTGTTAAAATGACAATACAAGATTACATTAAATAATGTCAGCAGCCAAATGTATAGACTTTTGATTCAGCAGTTTCTGGTATTAGATTAAATTGCCTTTTGTTTAAGCTCTCTTCTCTGAGATACTCAATAAACACTGAGGAGTTAGTGGCATTATTAATGGTTTTTCTGATACCTTAAAAACAGTAGATTATGAAGAGTTGAAAAAATACTTTGTGTACATGAAGTAAGATCTTGAATTTAAATAACCCGCTCCCCACCTGGTGGTTTGAGTGCTCATAGTGCTGAAATCCAGGATTCATTACTGTGGTGCTTAACAATATACAAAAATGTCTTAACATTTAGAATAATGACATATTTTATAACTACACGGTATTATTTATACACAAGTTCATATTACTCTACAGTCACAACCACTATAAAGTCATGGTAGAATGGTTTGTATGGTTTGGCATTGCTTGAAGTTTTGGAAAGAGTATGTAACAGCCCTTTCTGATGCAAAATATTCGTACACTCAGAACATAAAGATGTGATCAGACTAGGGATTTAGACTTTCAAAGTTGGGGATATCCCATATGCTTAGTAGCATTGGGAAAAATGAGGAATATGGATTAACTTGGGGGAACCAGGACCATCCAGAAAGAGACCTGCAACAAGTTCTACCCCAGCCATGGTAAGCAAAGTGCAGTGTCTAGAAACAAATGAGAATCCACAAATGCAAAGGTTAGTGACAAAAGCCTCCATGTGCCCTAAGCAACAGTACACAATATGATCAATAAGGATCTTCACCTGGAACTGAGACCAACAGAGTATGGTACACTAAGGTAAGGATTTCAGTCATACCTCCCACAGTACACAATGGGAATCTTACCTAAGTGAACCATATTCTGTTGGTCTCAGTTCCAGATGAAGATCCTTCTTGATCATAGTCATACCTCCCACTCAACTGGTGCATACGTCAAGCAGTTGGAAGATGAAATGAGCATTTGCAATTGGACTTTTGGAATGGGCACTAGGAAACTATTGTCCTCTTTCAGTAGATGAATTATGGAAAAATAATGGAGGAGTGGGGTGCTTTGGACACAACAGTTTTCTGTCAGAGCCTTTTGCAATGGAAACTATACTGCAAGGCTGTTGTGAAGATGCAGGATTGACAGATGAAGCATAACTGGATGTGGTGAAATTGACTGTAACAACATAAGACTCCAAAGTTGTTGTAATATAACATACTCAATAAGTTTCTTTAATCAGAAAATAATATTCACTGACTGTTTCAAAAGCTGCACTTCAGAAGGAGCTGATGTATAATGTTTTAATGATGTATATATGTTTGTATTACAACTTTTGTTTTAGTAATGGACATTATACAGATCAGAAGATCAAATTTTCCTTGTGAGTAATGTTTAACAAGTAAATTTTCAAACGTTTTCTGTTAATTCTCTCAACATGGGCTTGGTCAATTTGAC